AACTCAAAAACCACTGGATGAATTGACACCGAATTTGGACACAATACACCTATCAGGCCAACGAGTGACCATCACTCATAAAAACACTGAAAACACAGCAGAAGGGACTTAAAAAACAAAAATAATAATAATACATTACAATGCAGGCACAAAGCCACTTCTATATAAATAAAAAATATGACTTAAAAGCCAAAAAAGCAAAAAGACAAAAAAGTTAAAAAAGCAAAAAGATGCTTCAGCACATGCGCAAAAACGACTCCCCCGGTAAACAAAACACACAATAGCATATCCACACTCTCTTCCGGACTACAGCTCCCAGCATCCCCTAGACCAGGCCCTTTAGGAGAGGAGGATGATCCAAATGCACTTCTTCCAAGCTGCAAGCTTTCTTCTCCTTGGATTTCTTTGAGAGCATCTCAATCCCTGCATATTTCCAATATCCTATTCCTGGACCAGCAATCCTTCAGATAGGAAGATTAGATAGAGATAGGTAAGTAGGTAGATAGGTAGGTAGATCAAAAGGACTGTTGGGAGTTGCAGTCCAAAAATAGGTAGAGAAGGAAGAAAGAGGAGAAAGAGGAAGGGAAAGAAAAGTTGGGGGGGTAAGAAGGGAAGAAGAGAAGAGAAGAGAAGAGAAGAGAAGAGAAGAGAAGAGAAGAGAAGGAAGGAAGGAAAGAAAGAAAGAAAGAAAGAAGGGAAGGAAGGAAGGAAAGAGGGAGGGAAGGAACAAGAGAAAGAAGAGAAAGAGGGAGGGAAGGTTGGCCACAGCAACACGTGGCAGGTACAGCTAGTGTGTGTATGTGTGTGTGTGTGTGTGTATCTGGAAAAATGGGCTGGACTTGCAATATTTGTGTGGACAGGGTTATGATGGAGCTGCTACTATAAGTAGTCATATTAGTGGAGCACAGGCAATTATATCACAGAAGAATTCGATGGCTATCTACATCCACTGCAGTGCTCACTCACTAAATCTAGCCTTAGCAAAGACTTGCAGCATTCCATCTGTCAAAAACTGCCAAGGAACAATACCATCTGTGTGCATTTTCTTCAGAGCATCATTCATTAGACTGGAATTGTTCAATAAAAACATAAAAGACTGTTTTTCTGAATCAAGAGCAAACAGCCTGTTGCTGCTTTGTGATACCCTCTAGGTTGAGCGACATGACGCAGTTTTACATTTTGTTGAACTGTACAGTGTGGTGGCGAGCACACCTGAAGAACTAAAAGAGAATTAAATATGAGCCAACAATGTGATGCGGCGGCAAAAAAGCCAACGGAATTTTGGCCTGCATCAATAGGAGTATAGTGTCTAGATCCAGGGAAGTCATGCTACCCCTCTATTCTACCTTGGTTAGACCACATCTGGAATACTGTGTCCAATTATGGGCACCACAATTGAAGGGAGATGTTAACAAGCTGGAATTTGTCCAGAGGAGGGCGACTAAAATGATCAAGGGTCTGAAGCCCTATGAGGAGCGGCTTAAAGAGCTGGGCATGTTTAGCCTGAAGAAGAGAAGGCTGAGAGGAGACATGATAGCCATGTATAAATATGTGAGAGGAAATCATAGGAAGGAGGGAGAAATGCTTGTTTTCTGCTGCACTGGAGACTAGGACGCGGAACAATGGCTTCAAACTACAAGAAAGGAGATTCTATTTGAACATTAGGAAGAATTTCCTGACTGTTAGAGCTGTTCAGCAGTGGAACTCTCTGCCCCGGAGTGTGGTAGAGGCTCCTTCTTTGGAGGCTTTTAAACAGAGGCTGGGTGGCCATCTGTCGGGGATGCTTTGAATGCAATTTTCCTGCTTCTTGGCAGGGGGTTGGACTGAATGGCCCACAAGGTCTCTTCCAACTCTATGATTCTATGATTCTATGAAAGCTCCTGTCATCATCCCTTCAGCTTAGCAAAACATTACAAAGAGAAGATATGGACATTTTCAGTGGTCTGCAACATGTCGACAATCTCTTAGAAAAAGCCGGGGAGATGCACACAGAATCTGTGAAATAATTTCAGGAGATCTTTGACACAGCAAGATCAGTGGTGGAGTCTATGGGTGGAAAAGTGAGGACTCCTCGTATCTGCTCAAGGCAGAATTGTAAAAGCAAAATCCAAGTAATTTCACCAACACCAATTGAATATACATAAGAAGCACAATGGGGCTTGAAAGATTGACGGGATTTGTACTCTTGAGTGTACACCAAAATTACCAATAAAAGGTTTTTTTAGACTCCAAACTTTGTAACTGAAATAGAAATTTGATTTAATTAAGTCTACATAAAAATATATAATTAGTCATATAATTTAAATTATTTTGTGTTATGAAACTACTCTTCATGATCCGCAAAAAAATATTTACCCCCCCCCCCCCCAAAAAAAAAGTCTGGCTACAGCCTTGACCGTATGAAGTTCATATTAAAATGTGAACTGAAGAATTTCACACCTATCTCTACCCATGACAAGATGGTGTGAATCACAAGTTTCACAGTGGCTTAATCCTTCTGGGAAATGAGGTATTTTGGAGAAGTCAGACACATGTGGCACAGTGCTGATATAATAATGGAAATGTTCCTCATTAAAATGAGTGCTGGGTCAAACACTCTTGCTAAAGAATTAAATGCTGGACTCACAGCAAACAGTGTTTAACTGCAGGTTCTGCACCCAGAGGTAACATACAAATGCTTCATACCACAAACAGAAGCAACAGCAGCAACATATTCTCCCACCTTGAGGGTGGTTGGCTGTAATGAAGAAGTAAAACCCCTGGAAAGAAAATTCAGTCCAGAAGATTGGGGAAAATAAACCACCACTGTGCTCAGCTATCCAGCAGAGCGAAGGCAGCTAATGGTACTCCGATAGATGTACAAGGTAATTAAAGGCAGTGACAAATGATATTCTGGGGATGTTTGTTGCTCTAGCGTGGTAAAAAGAAACACTATAAACATTCCTATAATGGTTCTAAGGGGTCTCTAGCAACAAAATGAAACAAGGGACTCAGCATCTCCCAGCCCACCCCCAATACTTTTCCTGAACATGGACACATTCCTGTACTAAACTTATACCCAGGCAAAGAAGTAAAATTTGAAAGCTACATCCTGTCAATGATGCAACTAGATCCATAGTTCAAAAGGAGCTTGCTAATTAAAAGCGGGTGAGCTTTAAATAATTCATCCCCTTAACTCATATTGATTTGGTAGTTTAGTGGTGAGGATTTTGAAACAATATTAAACAGCTACCTTCAGGGTTGGGTGGCGGGTGACTTTTTCATGTAAGTCTCTCGGCCTAGCAAACTTAAATATACAGCAGCAGGGGGAGACAATACAAATAAGGGGCATTCTTGGCAGTGGAAAAGGAAACACTTTCAGACAGTGGGATGAAGATGTCAGACATTTGAATGGTTTCTGTACAGAACATGCATAACAGAGCATATTTTTCTAAAGCTGACACTACATGCCATTCACTATAGGGCATATCAAATGACTAACTGGTTGTCAGTATTTATGACATCCAGGAATACTCCAAACATGTATATCTGCTGTAACTGTCCCATAAAAATTAATACATATTTGCAAAAACTGTACAACACCTAGGCGCATGGCACAAAATCAAGAAAACTTGAGCTCCCAGAGCTGCCAAATTTGCCCATCTAGCATCAAAACAGATTAGAAAATTAGGGGGAAATTAAGGGGTAGTCTGGCACTATCTTAGGAGAAAGCATGGCATAGCATGCCATTATGCTTTTCCAAAGTTTCACTCTCTAACATTCATACTCAGCAACAGGGAGACATGTTGAATGTGTTGTTGAAGGTTTTCATGGCCAGAATCATGTGAGTTTGTTGCTGTGGTTTTCCAGGCTGTATGGCCATGGTCCAGAAGAATTCACTTCGTTTCACCCACATCTATGGCAGGCATCCTCAGAGGTTGTGAGGTCTGTTGGAAACTAGGCAAGTGAGGTTTATATATCTGTGGAATGTTCAGGGTGGGAGAACATTTCCAAAGATACATAAACTTCACTTGTCTAGTTTCCAATAGATCTCACAACCTCCAAGGATGCCTGCCATTGATGTGGGCCAAACATCAGGAGAGAATCCTTCTGGAACATGGCCATACAGCCCGGAAAACTCACAGCAACCCAGCGAGAAAAATTATTTTACCAAACCTTATGAAGAGTTGGTAGATATGCAAGGTGGACTAAAATGAATGTGAAGGTTATTGAGAGCATAACTCCACATATTAACCCTCCACATATTTCAAGTGCCCATTCCTTCAAACGGATATTGTGATTCCCCTTGTATTCAAGTAGCAATGACAAACCTAACCCCATGTACTCAACTGTTTGCCTGTCCACTGAATAGCAACATCACAAGCTGGTTTATGCCGGCAAGGAGCTTTGCATCCTTTGAGACCAAAATTGTGAAAGGGCAAATCATTCTTGCATTATATCAGCCTCGCCAACTTCCGTTGACTATACTAGCTGATGACACCTACAGCTCCAAGTATTATAGATTGGGGAACATTAAATTATGCTATTGACAGGCAACTTCCAGTGGGAACCACTAAGATCTTGGGGGACTGACTTTCCCCTTTTGGGGACCTGCCCATAACCCTGAAAAAATTGACTTCCCAACAGCCTGTCATATGTTTTAGACACAATTTGGCCATTTCACAAATGAAAATAGGAATCCATTTTAGGTCCACAGAACCATTTTTTTAAATTATTGGTCAAGTTTTGATTGGTCAAGTTTTGAAAATTAGTCCTCCTGGGGCTACAACAGATCTGAGAGAATGTTTTTTGAAAACTGTGTGAAATTGAGGGTGCATTTGAGAACATGTTGAAGTGCAATAATGTTCAACTGAGTGGAGGATATTGGACAGTGCAAGATGCAAAGGGCACCAAAGTGGTGCTAAAAAAACACATGGGAATACCAAGTTGCTCTTTGCCATTATGACACGCGAGAAACAGAAATGAGGTGGAGTAGTAGAGAAAAGAGCCATGTTACTAACCTATCCCACTGTGAGGCCTTCCTATGTGCTGTAAGTTCAGGCCTTTGTTCATGTCTAAGAGTCCATTCTTCGGCCAGCTTCCCATGGCAAAGCTGTATGCCTGGAAAAGGAAATCCATATGTATGTTAGATAATTGTACACCAAGATGGTAATTTAACATCCCAAGAAAAGAGTCGACGGTTGTTTAAAATTATACAAGAAAACCCACAACAGTCCATCCTGCCTATCTATTCAGTACTCTATAGTGATACTGCAAAAACTCCCCCTCTCAAATTTTCTGACTTTTCTGTAGCAATGTTGTTTAGAGGCTTTGGACATGATGTGGACAATGACCTTCGTTTATTGCAGATTCTATAATGCAAGATGCCAAATTCTCCACATTTGTAATAAACAGAATGAAAATGGTATTATGCAAATGTTAGCTGACTACTTCCACTAGCAAGCAATCAGATTTGATTTATTGTACACAAATTGTACACAAATGCCATTCACCATCAGCAGTATTGTCAGTAACTCATTCACCAACGTGCCGCCCACACAGGGCAAAGCACTCCATCTTGAGTGGATGCAAATGGGAACACAAGAGACAATGCATATATTACCAGACACGGGTGTCATAAAAAACAGAAAACGTTATAAGGAAGGAGTAAAGAAGCCACACTCCTCATCCTTATTGACCACACCTCTCAAAGACCAATAGTACTACAGTTTTTATCAGATGCCTTTATGTTTTCCAATTTTTGTCCACAACATGAGGGCTATACACAATTTCATATTCAATCTTAACTTCTATCTTCCATACTTTTCTTCCCTTTCTTCAATTCCAAAGTAAGAAAGGCAGCCTCTCCTCATTAATTAAAAAACAACAACATTTTTCTTTGTTCTACCAAAAGAAATTTACCCCATAATCTCTGAAACTTCTGATGCCGTTGGTTATCTTCGTTGTCTGTTCTTTAAGTTAATATGCAGAGACAATTTACTTTGCAGCTCTGGCCTAGCCTGATCACTTCTGAAACAGATGATAGGAGCCCAAGGAGTTATATAAAGATATTTTATGTAGTTCCATTTCAACAACAATTTGGTCTTGGACTAGACAATACCATTATAGGAAGCTCCAGTACACATTTTCTGCTACTTGGAAGAAAGGTTATATAGCAACAAAACTAAAACAATGGACCTTGGAACTCATCAACATTGTTAATTAAGTTTTTTGTACTCCATTTTGAGCTGTACATCTCCTAAGGGCAGTGAAGTCATTGCCTAAACAATGTTTCCTTTTCCATTTCCTTGATTTTTAAATATATTTATTTACTGGGTGAGAAGAATGTAGTAATTAATGTTATTTGTTCTGCCTGTACAATATTTACTTGGACCTAAGATGCATCAGTCAGTGATGGGTCCCACAACAGAGTGAGTTCACTCTGGGTTTCGATTTCTAAAATGCTGAACTATTTTGAGAACAGGATCTAACACACAACCCCTGTAAAGTTTAGACTAACACCTGTAGTGGATAGCATGACACTGACATGGAAGCCACCAGCTGCCACAGGTCTAAGGAATTAAACCATGAACTGCAATGTACTGTAATGAAGCTCAGCATTTGGATATGGAAGCTGGCTATGTTCTGAGTAAAATACCACTAGATCGAATTCTATTTATTCATGCCAGAGCTTTAGATGCTCATAAAGCTGACATTCTAATACAATATCCTGATAATATTTTGTTTGTATTTATGTATTGATTTGTGTATTGATTTGACTGCTCCCTGTTGGCACAGTGGGTTAAACCACTGAGCCACTGAACTTGCTGACCAAAAGGTTGGTGGTTCAAATCTGGGGAGAGGGGAAAGCTCCCGTTGTTAGGCCCAGCTTCTGCCAACCTAGCAGTTCAAAAACATGCAAATGTGAGTAGATCAATAGGTACTGCTTCTGAAGGAAGGTAATGGTGCTCCATGCAGTCATGCTGGCCACATGACCTTGGAGGTGTCTACAGACAACGGCCTAGAAATGGGGATGAGTACCACCCTCCAGAGTCGGGTGGTGCTCCTTTACCTTTACTTTTACTTTACCTTTACTTTGACTACGGACAAGGCTCAAGTAAGACATTTCATGAGCACACCTTAGTTTAGTCCATTTTATATCTCATCCATCCCATACATGAACAGAGGTAGTTTTATTTTGGACAGTTAGTTCTGTGAGAGTTTCCACTCAACCTCAAAGTTTCCAGAAAGTCCCCTTTTCAGGCCCCAGGAGAAAATGTTGCAGCTTGCCTCCTACTGCTTCAAGAATCTTTCATATCTTATCATGTTTAAAGGAGAAGAAAAGAAAGGGGAACCATCTGCTTCACAACTGTTTTATTAGGCTACAAGAACTTCCACAGCCATGTCCTTGAACTGACCAGGAAAACTTTGAAAACCATGAGTTCCTTCCAAACTCCAGTTTGGCCATATCAACAAAAAAAGAGCAAATGTCTGAGCAAAGAGAACACTTCTGTGGAAGGCACTTGTCCTTCTCATCAATGGAGATAAATGAGGATTCCAGACTAGTGCAGAGAAGGACGTGTAAAGGGAGAGGTAAGTTAATTTAATTGTGTAATATAGGGCAGCGGCACTAACCTGGAAACAGCTGGATAAGGCTTCAGAGCTCCCAAATACTGTAACAATTATGATCTGACAGCAGCCTATCTTCTCCATCAAAAGGTATTGCAACAGCTGTGCCATTGTGTGACATTAATGGCGCAAGGCTTAGCAATACTTAGGAGTTAGGCTGTCATACAATCTATTGTTCCCAGATGAGATCACGTCAATCCAGAGGAGAATATATAGCAGCCAGGTTCCTTACATGCCTGCTATGCCAGAAACAAACAGAATGGGATTTTAACAGAGCCGGTAACAATAATTTTTGCTGTCCAGTCAACTAAAACTTGGGAATGTTAAAGACCAAGATGGTATGTGAGTGTTGTTACATTGGAAGAGAACATTAAGAAAGGTTTTGGGTATAAACATTAAGCCCAATGAGCCCGTGAGGACTTCAGTCATGTTCCCAATAACACAAAGAACTATCCTATATGATCATACCTTTCTTTTGCAATGCAAGGCTCAGGCAAAATCACTGAAGCTTACCAAACTAGCTTTGGACATTATGAGCACTTAGCCAAAGGCTTCCTTTCTTCTGAACTTCTCATCATTAAGAACCAGGGGGAAAACCCATGGCCAAGAATAACTTGTCATAAATGGGATACAGGACTCCTTGATCATTCCAAAAGGTTCTCAGGGGGACTATGACAATATGCTGAGCAAACTGCTGCTGAAATCACTGTGGAATTTATTTGGGGGCACACCCCTCTTTCCCTTCTATTTGTGATTGTAAAGTATTCACTGGAGAATTTTAAAAATAATGTAAGTTTTCATGTTGCTCCATTTGACTAATAATGTAAACACACCCACAACATCCACATCTCTGGTGCACTGAATGCCACTTTCCTCTAGGACAGAAACAGAACAAGTACATTATACAAAAGATTTGGGTTAACCAGCTCTCTGTACAGCATGCACTATTTTTCATTGTCTTCCATTGTCCCTTTCCTTCTCCTTCGAATAAGCTTTTAATCCAAATAAACATTACAATAAAAATAGACACCCTACCACATAATGGGAAATACCAAATTTAACACATTAAAGGAAAAGAGGGCGGAATTCAATAAATCTGGCAGGTAACAGTTGAATCAACAGTTGTTATTCATGACAGCTTAATGGTATTTACATGTTTAGAAGCATATTCCATGCATTTCAGACGCTGACCAGAAAACATAAGATTGGATAGTTCCTAAAATTGTCCAGCCAGCCTGGCCATTGGAAGTTCTATCCAAAGTACTTTTCGCAACTTCTGCTGAGATCACACAATGGGAAAGACCGAACCCTTCATTTCCAGAAGTAGACTTCTTAAGAGGCTTCTAGCTGACCACGGTTGCAAGCAGGTCACTAGCCTAGATTGCCCTTTTGTTCTTTTAACAATATCTCTAAAAAACAAATATTGTGAACTGCCTAATGAAAACCTGAAAACAGTTTCTTTCATTTGAGATTTATCTATATGCCTGAGTTTTCTATTTGGATAGGACTGTCCATATTCTTTAGGTTTGGATGTAACTTGCATCAATATTGAAAGCTTTTTAGGTGTTGTTATGTCTTCAAGTCAACTCTAACTTACGGTTTTGAAGACAAGATGTATTCAGGGGAGGTTTATTTATTTATTTATTTTATGCCTGGTTCTCTGTCATGAGGGACCCAAAGCAGCTTACCACTGCCTTCTTTTGAATATAGTGAGTGACCTGTATTCCCTGGTGGCTTCCCTTTCAAGTAGTAACCAGGTCTAACCCTGCTTAGCTGCTAAGATCAGACATTATCTGGGTGCCTTCAAAAAGTTTAGGCTTGCTAAAAACAAGAGATTACAGAATTTTAAAATGAACCCCTTTTTTCTGTTGCCACACCTCTGACATAAATGACTTGGCAGATCAATATAAACAATATCTTTATTCCAAAGAGGTTCGATCTACAAATGTAAGAACCACCACAATGGATCAGACCAAAACCTCTTTTTGTTTATGTGGTGAACAAACCATTGCCAATGGTAAACCCACAAGGAGGACATTGTAGCACATTCCTATGCTGACCCACAACTACAGAAAGAGACAAAATGTCTCTTGGCATTGAAGCCTATATAGAATCATCTTGGGTAGCATTCACCGGTAACCTTCATCCTCCAAGGATTTGTCCAATGCCCAGTTAAACGCCATCTAAGCTGGCAGCCATCACTTCTTGTGGCAGAGAACACTGTAGTTTATTACATGATGTGTGAAGAACTTGTTTCTGTTATATGTCCTCAATCTCTCATTATTCACAAACACATTGAGGTTCACTAAAGAGCATCCTTTCTGAGGTAGCCATTTCCAGGCAGAACAAAGAGGGGGTATCCAAACAAAAATAATGTTTAATTCTAGTAGCCACACAGTGACACAGTCCGGGGACTCTTTCAAACACCACCTGCAGCCTTCCTGCATAGCAAACTCTCCATTTTCACAGCCAGTGTATTGAAGGCCCCTCCC